TATATATATATATATATATATATATATATATATATATGTATATATCAACTCTAGAACTTTCACAAGTTTATTACCCAAGTTTGAGGTAATCGTAGACGATAGATTGTGCCTGATCTTAAAAGAAATACTATTTTCTCGTAATTTCTATTCTTTTCTCTGTTCTACTTCTGTCTGTTATGGCGATGTCATGATGCGACGGTGAAAGAAAATGGTGAAAATATCTGTGCGATCAGTTGCAACAACAATCGTAATGTGTTCGGCAGCCAATGACGCCAGAATGGTGGAAAAAATGTATTATTTATTGCAATAATAAAATAATAAAACCGGATTTAGGGTAAAATAAATGAACTCAGAATAAAGATTCTAAAAGTTCAGTTGAATTCAATGAAGGTGTATCACATTTCTCAGAAGAAACTGCATCAGCACCAACATTATTAATCACTTTACATGTTCTTTCGTGTGCTTGGCGACTAACTAGACCACGAAAATGCTGTCCACACTTTTTGCAACTGTTTTCCCTCTTGGTACTATGCAGCCGTTCGTGAACACGTTGATCATTGCGTCGAACAAAACGCTTTCCGCACTGATAACACGCAAAGCTGCAAGTATCACGATTACAATAATTTCCAAATATATAAATTCTAGGCTTTGCCGAGGTGCTGAGCAACTGACTCCGAGTTTGACTCTGAGCGGCTATGTACGAGAAACAAAATGGAGAGTAAAAGGGAAGAGTCCGCATCTGGAATCAAAAATGAAAATTATGGAAAAGATGCGATTGGAAAAAGCCATGTGAACGGTGTGAGAACATACTGCCAATGTATCAGAACCTGGCGCCAGCAGAATGATCATGCATGAAACACTCGTTCGTGGAATCAAAATCTCGCGAAGCAGCTGGCCATGAAAGGTGCTGAAAGCGGTCTTGACCGATTTGGAAGAATGCTGAGAGGGAGATAGCCATAGTGTCGTTCTCTGTATAGCGAGAAGTTCTTGTGTGCTATTACCTTAGAGGAACTGAAGAAGTAAATGAATTCTGTGATCACCCGTATTGCAGATCGTCCTACTCACAGAAACGGTTCTTAGAGAAGTGAACGAAACATGTCAAAACACAAGATAAGTACTTCGAACACAATAAGCTGCACGAGCCTAAGGTTTATCTAGATGTAAAGGAGAAATATATAATGCTGATGCAAAGAAGCACAAGGACGTAAGATAGACCAGACAAAATAATCTCGGAGAATGTTGTCTCGCTTATACTTGGAGCAGTAAACCAAGCAGAGGGTGAATATACCACACAGAATCCCCACAATTCAATGACCGATATTGCAAGGCAGATCCAGGCAGCACAACAATGTTATGAAGATATGACGAGGCGAGGAAGAAGCCATCGGGGTGGAAAGCAAGCACAGAAATGAAGATAAGCATGTTGAATTCCCACAAATCCCTCATAGAACGGAGTTTAACCGGTGAAAAATTGGGAGGGAAAGACTTAAAAGAGGCCCAGAAGTGTATGAGGGAGATGAATCTCACTCTTACTTGCTCATAAGCGTGACTGTCATGAAGCGTTAAGCATATTGACAGACCGTGTGAGAGTTTACGAAAGCAAAATAAAAAGTTCTGAGACCCGATGTGCATTCGAAATACGAAACGCCAGATTCGAGCTGTACAGAAGACGGCTCTATAGAAACCTAGCCCAAGCAAAATCTGTTAACCACAATGTATGGACAGAGGAAATCAGGCAAGCAGTTCTTTATATTTCATCTTAGCAATGCTAAACTAGAATTTTGCCTAAATATAGACAAAAATTCAAGACAATATTTAAATGCTAGTTGAATAGGATCTATTCTCAAACTTCATATTTGTAACAATAGATCCAATCATTCTTGAATAATTTCGAGTAATCCAGTAAATGTTTAATAAAACTGGCCATTGATTTCAATTTATCATCACTATTAGAAATCAAATTTGTGAACTGTCAAGATTACACTTACGGTCTGTCTTTGGTATGTACTGAACGAATATGTGCAGCCAAGGCCTGCAATAGACAAATGTGATTTGGTGTTTGGATAGCAGGTATAGATATTTTGATTCAACAGTACTGGATACTGATTAAATAG